AGATGGACTCTCGTTCTGTCACCTAGGATGGAGTACAGTGGTACAGTCTTGGCTCACTGCAACCTCTGCCTCCCTGGTTCAAGTGATTCTTCTTCCTCATCCTCCTGAGTAGCTGGGATTATAGGTGTACACCACCGCACCTGGCTAATTTTTGTATTTTTAGTGGAGACGGGGTTTTGCCATGTTGGCCAGGCTGGTCTTGAACTTCTGACCTCAGGTAATCCGTCTCGGCCTCCCAAAGTGCTGGGATTACAGGTGTGAGTTATCGCACCTGGCCTGTGTTATTTTCTTGATTCATGTTGTTTTCAGTGGAAGAAACTGCTTTCGATGTCGTTTATACATAGGGCACATGCAGTGCCAATATACTTTTTCAGAATTTGATTACTTTGGAAGGTTGTTTCTCTCATTTTTGTCAGGAATGATTTACTGATGGTATTATTCTCAGTTGATAGCTAGTTTTTCAGGACTTTGACTATATCACATAGTTTTCTGACCTGCAAAATTTTTTTGACAATTCACCAGTTGTCTGAAAGACTATGCTTGTAAGTGATACAGGACATTTTTCCTGCAGTCTTCAAGATTCTCTTGTCTGTGACTTTTAAAAATTTGCTTATATATGTGTTTGCTATGAATATCTTTTTGTGTATCCTAGTTTGTTTGTTGAGCTTCTTCATTTTTAGTTTTTTTCTTACTTTTAGAATTTTTTAGTTGTAACTTCTTTTCCTTTCTTTCTTTCTTTCTTCTTCCTTTCCTTTCCTTTCCTTTCCTTTCTTTTTTTGAGATGGAATCTCGCTCTGTAGCCCAGGCTGGAGTGCAGTGGCACGATCTTGTCTCAGTGCAACTTCCACCTCCTGGTTTCAAGCAGTTCTCTGCCTCAGCCTCCCGAGTAGCTGGGATTACAGGTGCCTGCCACCATGCCTGGCTAATTTTTGTATTTTTAGTAGAGACGGGTTTTCACCATCTTGGCCAGGCTGGTGTTGAACAAGGCCAGGCTGACCTTGTGATCCACTCGCCTTGGTCTCCCAAAGTGCTGAGATTATAGGCATGAGCCACCACACCCAGCCTTTAGTTATAATTTCTTTTTGTATTTTTTACCTCCACAATTTGTTTTTTTTTGATATTTTAATACTTTTGTTAACTTCATTTTTCTGTTTTTCTATGGTTGTCTGTGTTTTTATTTCACTCATTGAGTATTCCATTTATTTTCAATTTTTAAAATTAATATATACATCTTTTTTATAATTTCTTTCTGAAAATTTTATAATATTCTTGATGGGACTGTAGTGACCTATTTTGTATACATTGTAATCTTCGAGATTTGGACACTAATAAAAGCTACCTGTCACAATATTTATAGTGTAGCTTTGTTCTGGCATAGTCTGAAAACAGTTGTCTTGGTTAGTGATTCTGGGAGTCTGTCAAACAGGTTCTTACGACGTGTCTTCCCTGAATTTAGTGTTTACTTTCTAGTTAAAGGAGTTTATTCATGTTTCTTCTCTATAGTCATTACTTGCTACACCTGTTCTCTGTCTGCGGCACTGCAGTCTCTCTACTGCTGTAACATTTACCTTTAGTCTCAGTAGACTCAAAGTGTCATTCCAAAGTATATGACCAGTTCTTTTAGCACTTTATGTCATTGAAGACAGAAAAAAGTGTCTGGAAAAGCCCCTAGAAGACAGAAATAAAGATGTATGTGCCAGTATTTTACTTGTCTTTTAAACAAGAATTCAGGAGCTTACAATTTACTTGTAAAGGCTCTTTGCTATATTGTGGACCTGGAAGAGCTGTTTGGGGTAGATACAACAAACTTTTCTCTTCATCATATGAGGCTCTTTGCATTGTGCTTACCTGGGGCGCTGCACATACTTAACTCATTTGTAAATTTACCACAAATGTATTTTGGTCTGTATGATTTTGTTACATTTATATGTCTATGAAGTAATTATGGCTTGTGGCATTTTGCCATGCCATCTTGCTTATGTAGTTTGTATAATTTTATAGCTTAGAGTTGTTAAGGATATCCATCTGAGTCCAGTAAGTGAAGCAATTTGTTGTTGTTGTTGTTTTTTCTCAGTTGTGTGTTCTCATTTTGCCCAAGACCTATGGCCAGAGCAGGGCATAAAAGATTCTTTCCAAAAAGTAATACTGAAAAGATATGGAAAATATGGACATGACAATTTACAATTAAGGAAAGGCTGTGAAAGTGTGGATGAGTGTAAGATGCGCCAACGAGGTTATGATGAACTTAACCAATGTTTGACAATAACCCCGAGCAAAATATTTCAGCAAAATATTATCAAAATAATTGATAATTATGTGAAAGTCTTTCATAAATTTTCAAGTTCAAATAACCATAAGATAAGACATACTGGAAATAATTCTTTCAAATGTAAAGAATGTGGCAAATTATTTAGCATGCTTTCACACCTAACTCAACATGAAAGACATCATACTAGTGTGAATTGTTACAAATGTGAAGAATGTGGCAAAGCCTGCATCTGGTCCTCAGCCCTTATTCGACATAAGAGAATTCATACTGGAGAGAAACCCTACAAATGTGAAGAATGTGGCAAAACCTTTACTGTGTCCTCAAGCCTTATTCAACATAAGAGAATTCATACTGGAGAGAAACCCTACAAATGTAAACAATGTGGCAACGCCTTTACCGGGTCCTCATACTTTGCTACACATAAGAGACTTCATACTGGAGAGAAACCCTACAAATGTGAAGAATGTGGCAAAGCCTTCAGCCAGTCCTCACACGTTACTAGACATAAGGTAATTCACACTGGAGGGAAACCCTACAAATGTGAAGAATGTGGCAAAGCTTTCTACCGGTCCTCAACCCTTACGGAACATAAGAGAATTCATACTGGAGAGAAACCCTACAAATGTGAAGAATGTGGCAAAGCCTATGGTAACTTCTCAACCCTTACTAAACATAAGGTAATTCATACTGGAGAGAAACCCTACAAATGTGAAGAATGTGTAAAATTAGTTCGTAACTTTGAGTCAGATATAGAATTCATACTGGAGAGAAACCCTACGAATGTGAAGAATGTGGCAAAGCTTTCTCCGGGTCCTCAAACCTTATTGAACATAAGAGAATTCATACTGGAGAGAAACCCTACAAATGTGAAGAATGTGGCAAAGCTTTCTACTGGTCCTCAAACCTTATGGAACATAAGAGAATTCATACTGGAGAGAAACCCTACAAATGTGAAGAATGTGGCAAAGCCTTTAACCAATCCTCAGCTCTTAAGAGACATAAGATAATTCATACTGGAGAAAGACCTTAAAATGTAAACCATGTGGCAAAGATTTAGCCAATCCTCAACCCTTCCTAACATATGATAATTCATACTAAAAGGAAACCCTACAAATATGAAGAATGTGGCAAAGCTTTTAACTAGTATTCAACCCTTAGTAAACATAAGATAATTCATACTAGAGAAAAACCCTACAAATGTGAAGAATGTGGCAAAGACTTTAACAAGTCCTTAATTTTTTTTTTTTTTTTTTTTTGAGACAGAGTCTCACTCTGTCGCCCAGGCTGGAGTGCAGTGGCCGGATCTCGGCTCACTGCAAGCTCCGCCTCCCGGGTTTACGCCATTCTCCCGCCTCAGCCTCCTGAGTAGCTGGGACTACAGGCGCTTGCCACCTCGCCCGGCTAGTTTTTTGTACTTTTTAGTAGAGACAGGGTTTCACCGTGTTAGCCAGGATGGTCTCGATCTCCTGACCTCGTGATCCGCCCGTCTCGGCCTCCCAAAGTGCTGGGATTACAGGCTTGAGCCACCACGCCCGGCCCACAAGTCCTTAATTTTTAACAGACATAATCTAATTCATACTAAAGAGGTACCATAAAGCTTAAAGATGTGACAATGCTTTTTACCAAATTTCAAACTTTTCTTAACATAAATAATGCTGGTGAGAACTCCTAGAAATATGTTGTCTCACTTGATTGTAGGTAAGATACTTTATACTGGAGGCAACTCCTACAAGTGTGAAGAATGTGTCAAAACTTTTGACACCTTCTTAATGCTCACACCTAAAGTGTGATAAGCAAACTCTCTGGTTTGCTAAATGCTCACACTTTTGCTCACACCTTAATGTACAAGAAATAATTTATATTTGAGACAAATTATACAAATACACAGAATGTGACAAAGCTATTAATATCTGCTCACATCTTAACATCAGAGAGTTAATACAAGCATTAAAGGTGCAATTACTGTCAAAAGATCTTTCAGGAAATATAAACCTTTAAAGTATTAAATTAATTTCTGTAAATTCTTATGGCTTACAGCTCAGAATCTCTTCATGAAAATCCTGTTTTTACCTTTCTGGTACTCAGATGCATGATTTTCTTGATTCTTATTTCTTTTTGTTTTATAGTTTATAAAATATTTGTTATGTTAGCTGGTCAGTTATTATAGGAATTATTTTTATGAAATTTAGTAGTACACACAAAATAATTTTCAAATGTAATTCCATTAGTGTATTAAGTTTTATTTAGTTAGAACATTCCATTTTGTTCTTTTAAGGGCAGAAAGTTATATAACCCTCCTTTTTTTTTTTTTTTTGGAGGTGGAGTTTCACTACTATCACCCAGGCTAGAGTGCAATGGCACAATCTCAGCTCACTGCAACTTCCACCTCCTGAGTTTGAGTGATTCTCCTGCTTCAGCCTCCTAAGTACATGGGATTACAGGCATCTGCTACCACACCCAGCTAATTTTTGTAATTTTAGTAGAGATAAGGTTTCACCGTGTTGGCCAGGCTGGTCTCAAACTCCTGACCTCAAGTGATCCACGTACCTTGACCTCCCAAAGTTCTGGGATTACAGATGTGAGTCACCGCATCCAGCGAAGCCTACTTTTATTTAATTACTGTGTTTTTAAAAAAATTTTCACAATTGACATAAGTGAATTTATTTATCGAGTCAATTTGTTCAGGTAAATGCTAGGGAAGTTTCATAAGCATGAGGATGTTTTTATATATGAATGTATCAACCATGACAGTGCTTGCTGTGTAACAGATGCTTCATAATAAGGCAGAAATATTTGTGCTAAAATTAGTTCGTAACTTTGAGTCAGATATAGAAAATATCAGCTGAGTGTGGTGGCTCACACCTGTAATCCCAATACTTTGGGAGGCTGAAGTGGGTAGATCACCTGAGGTCAGGAGTTCAAGACCAGCCTGGCCAACATGGTGAAACCCCGGCTCTACAATAATACAAAAATTAGCCAGGCATGATGTCAGTTGCCTGTAATCCCGGCTACTTGAGAGGCTGAGACACAAGAATTGCTTGAATGCAGGAGGCAGAGGTTGCAGTGAGCTGAGATAGAACCATTGCACTGTAGCCTGGGTGACAGAGGGAGACTCTGTCAAAAAAAAAAAAAAATCAATGATGAAAATATAGCACTGATTTTTGATATGGAGAGGACACTTTTTTCCAGACTATAAAGCTGAATCATGCTGAATTTAAAAATAAATTTCTGCTGCTTTAATTATCTTCTCCCCCCCCCCACTTTTTATGTTTATTCTAACTATGTATGTATCACAGCCCTTTTTCTTCTTCTTCTGTTATGGCTGCAGGTTCTCACTGTTGTCTATATACCATGTCATGTCATGTCACTTGGTACATTGTAGGTTCTGATGAGAAAGTTGGTATTCTTTAATGCACTGAAAAATTGGTTTTAACCAGAGAGTTTGCTTATCAATATAACTTTCAGATCAGTTAATTAAAAGATTTATAGTTTCCAGAAGTGAGAAGAATATATCAGTTAGCATGGTTTTATTTGTTTATAAAAGAAAAACCAACCAGGCTTGTTGGCTCAAGCGTGTAATCCTGGCAATTTGGGAGGCCGAGGCAGGTGGATCATGACATCAGGAGATCAAGACCATCCTGGCCAACATCGTAAAACCTTGTCTCTACTGAAATACAAAAAAATTAGCCCTGTGTGGTATTGCATGCCTGTAGTCCCAGCTACTTGGGAGGCTGAGGCAGGGGAATCATTTGAACCCAGGAGGCAGAGATTGCAGTGACCCCAGATTGTGCCACTGTACTCTAGCCTGGTGACAGAGCAAGACTCTGTCTAATAAATAAATAAATAATTGTGTTAGATTCTCACATAAACTGTGGAAAATATAGTGTACTAAAATATGTATCTTAGAAATTTAATTTTTAAGAGCGTTGATTGTAAGTGAACAATTTCAAATTTACTTTTTTATAATATAGGACAACTACTTATGTTTCTATGCAGAATTTTTTTTAAGTGTGAATGTTAAAGTTGGCAAAATAATAAAATGACATCTGTGGACTTGATATTTGAAGTAATATTTTTTTTTTCATGTTGATATTACAATTTGGAGGAATTTCTCATTTTTTCTAGTCTACAGTTTTTATTCTTAGTCACCCAACTGTAGTCAACTCCTTGGTCATTTTCTCTGGAAAACTTTTGGAGAACATGGCTGCTTTTGGGTTAAAATATTTCTTGTTCGCATAAAAGCTAGTTTACTGTGTTCACAGAGTGGCCATTCATGGGACCATAAGCAACAACTTCACCTTTTAGTGTTTTTCATACTATTACCATCAACAACAGAAACTCCAGGTGCCCCATGCTCGAATTAAAAGCCCTAACTTACATTGGCTCTTCCCATACACTCTGCTGGATCAGAAAATGCTGTTAAATATCAGAGTTCTTCAGCTGGGTATGGTGGCTGATGCCTGTAATCCCAGCACTTTGGAAGGCTAAGGTGGGTAGATCACCTGAGGTTAGGAGCTCGAGACCAGCCTGGCCACCATGATGAAGCCCTGACTCTACCAAAGATACCAAAATTAGCTGGGCGTGGTGGCAGGCGCCTGCAGTCCCAGCTACTCAGGAGGTTGTAGCAGGAGAATTGCTTGAATCCAGGAGGTGGAGGTTGTAGTGAGCCAAGATTTTGCCATTGCACTCTAGCCTGGGTGACAAGGGCAAAACTCCATCTAAAAATAAATAAATAATAAATAAATATGAGAGTTCCTATGTTCATGGCTGACAAATGACAAAAACAGCACAAAAACTATATTTTTGATACTATTGAGCTGTTAATGACAAAAACACAGTATCTGAAACATTAATATGTAATATATAATTATATATAATATGTATATTTATAATATATATAATTATAATTATTATATATAATACATATAATTTTATATAGAGAGATAATTTTTAGACAAGAATCTTGCTCTGTCACCCAGGTTGAAGTGCAGTGGCACAGTCTCAGCTCACTAAAACTTCTGCATTTCAGTGTCAAGCAATTCTCATGCCTCAAATTCTTGAGTAGCTGTGATTACAGGTGTGAGCCACTGCATACAGTTAATTTATATATATACACACACACACACACACACACACATATATATTTATTTATTTATTTATTATGTTTTTTTTTTTTTGAGACAGTCTTGCTCCGTACTCCAGGCTGGAGTGCAGTGCAGCCTCCACCCTCTGGGTTTAAGTGATTCTCCTGTCTCAGCCTTCTGAGTAGCCGAGACTACAGGCATGCACCACCACTCCTGGCTAATTGTTGTATTTTTGGTAAAGACATGGTTTCACCATGTTAGCCAGGCTGGTTTTGAACTCCTGACCTCACGTGATCTGCCCACCTTTGCCTCTCAAAGCACTGGGATTATAGACATGAGTCACCATGCCAAGCTAAAAATATATTTTCAAGTTGACAGATAAAATGCGTATTCTGCAAAACAATATTTTGAAGTATGTATACATTGTGACGTGCTTAATTCTAGGTAATTAATGCTTTACCTCACATAGTTAATATTTTTGTTGAGAGGTCACATGGCATTGTCTTAACATTTTTCAAAAATAGAAATACATTATAATGAACTATAGTCACTGTGCTGTATAACAAATCTTTTGAACTTATTCCTCCTATTCAACTATAATTTTATATATTTTTTTCCAACACTCCATTTCTTCTAAATACCTTGGCATCTGGCATTCACCTTTATATTCTCTACAGCAATAACATTGTTTTTTAGAATTTATGTGTAAGTGATATCATAAGATATTATTAATTCTGTGCCTGGCTTATTTAAATTAATATAATGTTCTCCAGGTTAATCCATGTTATTGAAAGTAGTAGAATTTTCTTTTTTAAAAGATGAATAGTATTGTATAAGTATACCATATTGTCTTTATTTACTCATTAGATGTCAAACTATTGACTGTATTTTGGCTATTGTGAGGAGTGCTGCAAACGATATAGAAGTGCAAATGTTTCTTCATCCTGATTTTATTTGTTGTGGATATATGTCCAATATTGAAATTCTTGTATTATGTAATAGTTTTGATTTTATGTTTTTTTTGTGAGATCTCTTTTGTTTTTCATAATGGCTGTCCTCATTTACATTAAAACCAACAGTGTGGAAGCATTCCTGTTTTCTTCACATCTATGACAAGACTTTCTTTTATTTTTAATAAAAATC